GTGTGTGTGAATAAATGCCAGAGAATCCTTAGTTTTGGGACGTTAAGGAGGAGTGCGGATTATACCAAACCTGTTGTCCAAGGCTGAGGAAGGTGTTGAGGTGGTTCCGGACATTAGAGAGAATGGAGCGAAACAGAATGAACTTCAAGATGTATCATCTGTAGTTGGAAGGAAGGCGGGTAGGAGGTCGGCTAGCAAAGGTTGGAGAGAGGGGGTAAAGGAGGTTTTGTGGCGAGGGCTTGGACTTCCAGCAGTATGCATGAGCGTGTTTGAAGAGTGAATGAGAAAAATGGTTTTTATTACTTGACGTGCTGTTGGATGTGAGCAGAGTAAACATTTCAGAAGTGGTCAGGGAACCGCAGGCCGGAACCCTTGAGTCCTGAGATGGAAGTACAGTGCCTGCACTCTGAAGGAGGGGTGTTATGTGCAGTTTAAAAAACTGTAGTGGTAAAGCACCCTTCTGGCAAGAACAGTGATGGAGTGAATGATGTGAAGTTTTTCCTTTTTCCGGGCCTTCTCCTTGGTGGGAATCGGCCATGTGATAATAAAATAATAAAATAAAGTTAATATAAAATAACATTTTTAACTACCTTTATTGAAGATTAGTGATGGCATCTGACGATAGGGAGGAGGAGAGAGGGAGTGAGGTTATTTTGGAAGATAATACCCCTTCCATGAGGACTTCCTGTATCAAAGCCCTTCTCAGTGGTGCTTCCATCTCTGTTATTTTAAATGCCACTAGACCTTGCTTGAGTCATTGGACCCCCGTCTCTACAAAATAACTGTCTACAGTCCCTGTTTTCTGTCTCGCAAATAACTGTCCACAGTCGTCTGTTGTCATCGCAAATAGTGTCCACAGCCTCTGTACATCCTGCAAGCCAACAAGTCTCACTCCAATCTCATACTTCTTTATTATTTCCTTCTTCACATCTATGGGTTTCTCACTTTCTTACCACAGGGTACCGCTAGCAGTTTTCTTTGGGCCCAGGCAGCTTATTTCACAGCCCCACGAAGCACGCACACAATTAAATAATCGACAATGTGAATGAGATCGGCAGGTTATGTTCACATCAAGCTAAACAAAGCTAGACTTGCTCACGGCGCCTGTGCGGGACGCTGACAAAGCGGGCCAGCGGACAGTCCCGTATCCCGCAGTCCCTGAAAATAGGGCGCGTTCGATAATAGGGACACAGTTTGTCCAAAATATGGTCTTATTTTTGAAATGTTCGAATGTGATACTTTGATTTTTGAGATCGTCTGTACATGGACCCCGGTTGTCGGCCGGTTTTGGTTATCGCCAACTCTCGGTTATCAGCGGGTTTTTTGGCGCCTGTTTAATCGGCTGTTCGCTCAAGTTATCGGCGGTTTCGGGAGGCGTCCATCCACTGGCTTGGGGCAGCTTGACATCTTTGGCTTGTCTTTCGGTGGCTGAGGAGGCTTCTCTCTACAAACAAACATTTTTCACTTGGATTACCATTGCTTTTAGTGGTTTTTCTTGCATTGCAACTGTGAAAATAAGTAATCATGCTCCAAAGAAAATTCCTAGTAAAGTTCACTGTGGTAAAGAAATGAGAACACCATGAATTAAGCGTGAGATATTGAAAAAGTTGAGAGTGGTATACGGTGAATGGAACTTGCCAGATGTACAGCAAGAATAAATCACAATTGCACTATACCTGGCAAAGAAAGAAAAAATCAAGGATGCTGAGGTTCAAAAGAGTAGCTTTTCTACTAAAACAAAGGACACTGATAATGGAAAGATGGAAAAATTATTACTGTGGATTTAAGGAAAAAGAATTAGGGGAGACAGTGTATGGAGTCAGCTGTTTGTGAGAGGTCAAAGCCTTGCATGAGGATCTTGCAAAGAAAATGCCTGGAACCAGTGCTGCAGTTTGTGGAATTTAGTAGAGCCAGCAAAGATGGTTTTGATAGATTAAGAAGCATATGGCATATACAAAGTGTTGTAAGGCAATGTGAGGCTGCAGTACTGACAAATGTGCAGCTGGAAAAGTAGTTCACCGAATTGCAGGACTATGTAAAGGCTGAAGGATTCGAACCCCAACAAGTTTCAACTGGGTATTTTCAGGCCCTGTTTTGGAAGAAAATGCCAAAGAGGACCTACATTACCAGGAGGAAAATGCACTGCCTAGACCCAAGCCTATGAAAGACAGGCTTACTCTTTTGTTGTGTGATAATGCAAGTGGGGATTTCAAAGTGAAGCCTTTACTTGTGTATCACGTCAGAAAATCCATTGTGTTTAAGACAAAACAATGTCAGAAGAATAGATTTGTGTGTGATGTAGAAAGCTAATCATAAGGCATGGGGTCACAAGGTCAAATTTTTCAAAGAGTGGATTAATGAGTGTTTGCCCAATGTGAAAAAAAACTCCTGAAAAAGAAATTGCCACTCAAGTGGACTCCGTTTGTACGGGGGACAATCCCCGGCACATCAACTTGGACGACCAGTGTTTATGACTTTCAGTTTTATAAAAGTGAAGTCTTACCTCCTAACACCACTCCTCTCCTCCATCCTGGACCAGCCGGTCATTTGCTAAACTTCAAAAAACTCTACACAAAAGCAGTTTCAAAAGGGCTTTGAAGTGACCTCGACACTCGTTGCCCCAAAGAACAGTTCTGGAGAATGCACTTCACTATCCTCCATTCATAAGCCTAAATAGGTAAAGGCTTGGGAGGGAGTGACTTCCAGGACTTTGAACTCTGCTTCGAGAAAACTGTGGCCAGATTGCGTCCAAGAGAGGGATTTTGAAGGTTTGGAGACTCCACTCCTGACCCTGTCTGACCCTGTGGCCTCTATGTGTCTTTGGGGAAGTTCCCTGGGGTTGGAGCGAGTGGTGAGGTTTGGAAGAGTTGGTGGAGGACCACAGGAAGAGCTTACCCACTGAAGAGCTGCAAGAGTCTTCACTTGAACAGCAATATGCTGCATCTGAGGAACTTGCTTCGAGGAGAAGAAGAGGGAATGAAGGAGGTGCCTTCTTCAGAGATTAAAGAGGTGTGTCAATGTGGAATCAGGCTGCAAGCTTTGTAGAGAAACACCACCCAGGCAAAGCTGAAAACAAGCCATATCTGCAACATTTATTGTGACAAAACCCTGTCCCACTTCAGGAAATCTTAGAGATTCAGAAACAAAGCACTTGGACAGTTATTTTGTGAGACAGGGTCCAGTGACCTCTCAAGCTGGTTTCTAATGGCATAAAAAGGCAGACAAGGGAAGTAAACCCCAGAGAAGGCATACTACCTAAAGTCTTCATGGAGGGGAATCCCCTTCCCAAACACTAAACTCCTCCCTCATTTTCCCTCCTTTCCTCCTCCCTATCTTCCAGAAACCAGTATTAGCCTTCAATAAATGTATTAATACTTTACATAATTGTATTTTTTTTTTTTGTGAATATTTTTGTTGGGAACGAATTATTTTATTATCATTAATTCTTATGGGAAATATTAATTCGGTTATTCGGCCAATTCGGTTAAATCAGCCAACCTTCAGGAAACAGATTGCGACCCGATAACTAGGTCCCCACTGTATAGTTACTATGTACAATTATCTTATCTAGTTTTAATTAGTTTACTATGTGGTGTATTAGGATTAATTTGCTCAAAATCCTTCGGCATGATAGTGGCTATCTTTGTACTTTGTAATCAAAATTGTAATACACAATTGTAACCTTTAAAAAGAAATAAACTTTATTGATAACTGAAGTTTGTTCACAGAACGCTCTTTAATGAAAACAATTGCATTATCAAAAACACCTTGAAATTGGAAGCGTAAAAAATTTTAACATTTAGCTTCGTCTTGAATTGTGGATGCATTACCCTTCTGGCTAGATTGCTAAAGAATGAGTGATGGTAATTTTTTTTTTTTAATCAGCCTCTTCCGTCCTCCGTTTCCCGCAGCTTCTCATTCCAAACCCCAAACTTCGGGCAGGCATTCTCAGAAATGCGTGCCTTGGTGGTCTCCTGCTTGTGCTCGTGCAGTACGTTTGAAACGCTCTGCATGGGGCAGGTACCGGTACAATAGAACCACAGAGCGACTCCTTGATTTTAAACAGAAGCGTGCGATCGCTCGCCGTGTCATCCGTGATGCTACACGCACTTGCTGGCGAGATTATGTCTCCACCATCACCTCTGCTTCCTCTATGAGTGCAGTCTGGAAAAAATACGAAAACTGAGTGGTAAATAATTCTCCTGACCCGGCTCCTGTTCTGCGGGTTGCCGGTGTTGATATAGCAAACCCACTAGATGTTGCCAATGAAATTGGCAATCATCTGGTCCGTATTTCTCAGGGACTCCATCTATGCCCCTCATTTCTTTCCTCAAAGTCTGCCAGAGAGTTAGCACCCTTGGACTTTTCTCTCTCAGAGAAGAACAGTATAATGTGCCTTTTACACTTCAAGAACTGGAGGCAACACTCTCAGCTTGTCGATCATCGGCAGCTGGGCCCGACGACATTCATATTCGTATGCTACAACATTTACATCAGTCAGTCCTTGCAGTCCTATTACGCCTTTACAATCTTATTTGGTCACAAGGAGTTCTTCCACAGCTGTGGAAATCCGCCATTGTTCTCCCTTTCCGCAAACCAGGCACTACGGGACATGAAACCTCCCACTATCGTCCCATTGCTCTTACCAGTGCAGTTTGCAAAGTAATGGAACGCCTAGTAAATAGACGTTTAGTGTGGTATTTAGAGACACACAACAGTCTCTCCACTCGTCAATATGGCTTTCATAAGGGACGTTCTACCATGGACCCCTTACTATGCTTGGATACGTATGTTCGTAATGCCTTTGCGAATAACCACTCACTTATTGCCATATTTTTTGACCTTGAGAAGGCATATGACACAACTTGGAGTATAATATTTTAGCCCAAGCCACTCCTTAGGCCTTCGAGGCAATCTACCATCCTTCCTTAAGAACTTTTTAACTGACAGGCATTTCCGTGTTCGGGTTAATAATGTGCTTCCCCGACATTTATCCAAGCTGAAGGTGTCCCCCAGGGATGTGTTCTGAGCACAACACTTTTTCTCCTTGCTATTAATGATTTGGCCTCTAGTCTTCCATCAAATATTTGGTCATCACTCTATGTTGATGACTTTGCTATTGCCTGTGCAGGCGCTGACTGTCACCTCATTACAGTTTCTCTCCAACATGCAGTTGACCGTGTTTCCAATTGGGCCACCACACGTGGGTTTAAATTTTCTAGCACTAAAACCCACCAAATTACTTTCACTAGACGCTCTGTCATCTCTGATCATCCTTTGTACCTCTATGGCTCCCGTATCCCTGAACGTGATACAGTCAAGTTTCTGGGCCTCCTCTTTGATCGTAGGTTATCCTGAAACCTCACATTACCTCTCTGAAGGCAATCTTGTCACAGCCGCTGAACCTTCTTAAAACCCTTGCTCATATTTCATGGGGAGCTGAATCGTCAAACCCCTCCTTCGCCTACATTCCACCCTTATTTTATTGAAACTTGATTATGGTGACCAGATCTATTCAGCGGCATCTCCTGCTACTCTCTCTAGCCTTAACCCCATTCATCACCAAGGATTACGTTTATGCCTTGGTGCTTTTCGCTCTTCCCCTGTCGAGAGCCTCTGTGCAGAAGCGAACGTTCCATCCTTATCCGATCGCCGTGATGGCCATTGCCTGCGCTACTATGTACGCTCTCATGATCTCCGCAATCCTTCCATTTATAGAATGGTCACTGATATAGTAGACATTCTTTATTTGTTCGCCACCCCTGTTTACTCCGTCCCTTTCTCTCTTCGCCTTCATTCGCTCTTGTCTTCTCTTCAACTACCACCTTTCTATGTACATGTAGCATCTCACTTTTCCCTACCCCCCTGGGAAGTTCCAGCTGTTCGAGTCTGTTCTTTCTCCCTCCCTTGCTCGAAAGCCCAACTGTCTACGGTCGCTTCCCGCTCTCTTTTTCTTGACCACTTTCACTCTCACTCTCATTCTCATGCCATTGCTGTGTACACAGATGGCTCTAAGTCTTCTGACGGCGTAGGATTCGCAGCAGTGTTTCCGGACAGCGTCGTACAAGGGCATTTACTATCTTCGGCTAGTATTTTTACTGCTGAATTTTATGCCATCCTTACAGCACTTATCCGTATTGCATCTATGCCTCTGTCATCATTTGTGGTTGTCTCAGACTCCCTTAGTGCTCTACAGGCTATACAAAAATTTGATACACCTCACCCCATAGTCCTCTGTATCCAACTTTGGCTATGCCGCATCTTTACCAAGCATAAAGATATTGTTTTTTGTTGGGGTCCCTGGTCATGTGTTGACATACAGGGCAATGAACAGGCAGACACTGCTGCGAGGTCAGCAGTACATGACCTACCAGTTTCTTATAGAGGTATTCCATTTACGGACTATTTTGCTGCAATATCTTCCCACCTTCACACCCGTTGGCAACAACGTTGGTCTACTATGCTCGGCAACAAACTTTAATCTATTAAACCGAGTATAGGTTACGCCGTCTTCTTATCACCAGTGTCGAGGTTGGGAGACTACTCTCTCCCATCTTCACATTGGCCATACTCGTCTTACTCATGGATATCTCATGGAGAGGCGTCTTGCTCCTCTCTGTGAGAATTGCCAAGCTCCATTATCAGTCAGCCACATTCTGTTGGACTGCCCACTTTATCAACGAGCACGCAGAATTTACCTCTGTCGCGTCTTCGCTCCGCTGCTCTCTCTTTACCTTCCCTTCTCGCTGATTTGGACCCACCTTTCATCCGAAATCTCTCATTGACTTTTGACAACAACTGACTTGCTCACAAATTCTGATACCTTCAGCCCTTTCTACCCCCCTTTTTTATCT